GCATTCATTCTTCGCTTCACACTCCACGACTGGAGTGACCCTTATAGCATCAAGATCCTCAAACACCTTCGCGACGCCGCTACTCCGAAGACGAAGTTGATCGTCATCGATGCTGTACTTCCATACAATTGTCATAGTACCGGCGAATGGGACGATATTCCTGGAGGAGAGCAACCCACATCACCTGCGCCGTTGCTCCCCAATCTGGGTGTGGCGAGTTCAGACATAACGTACATTGATCTCTTGGTAAGTTTATTCCTGGTCTGCCTTACCCGAAGATCATATCGTTGACGTGCGTACAGCTGTTGCAAGTGACCAATACGACACAGCGTACCGTGGGCGAATTGGCACATGTACTGGAGGAATCGGGATGGAACCTGGATTGTATTCATCGGTTCGCACCACCTGCGTTTCCTCAGTCTGTTGCGTCTCCAGCTTAGAAGCACATAGCAGAACTCGAGATTCATTGTATATGATATCGATTGAAGTCTTCAATGTATATTCGATTGACGACGCGCTTGCCCGAATTTACCGTGATGACAGTTTCGAAAGCAGATTATGTCAGATTTCCCTGTCTGTATCCGGCTATGCTGCGCCTGCGGCGCAGATCTCCCCTTGCCCACCTCATGTATACCATACGCCTTGTACCCTTTCCCCAGTCCTTCTAGGACCTTCTGTCCCTATGACATCACCTTAGCATACCAGTATATAGTCTACCTCTGTACACCGTAGCTACTCATGCGTTTGCCAGGCCTGCTACCCCAAGGCCAGCCCAAACGCCCAATACCATCTAGTGTTCACTCCCCCGGTGCACACCAAATATCGACAGATTAGCGTGTGCATGATCAGTCGGACGATTTGAACTTCGAAGCTCAGGCTGGGGCGTTCATAAGTGCAAACGGAAAATCACCCTAGCTGTCGCTGTGTTGACAGTCTTTGCCCATCCTCCTGTTCATGATTCGCCTGTTCAGGTCATATATTCAGCCTATGGGATGCAAGAAGGGGCTACGAGGAGCATAGATATCCGGTGCGTGACCGCGTAGTGTCTGTCACTTTCAAGTCCAATCTAGCGGGATCTCGAGGCGACATCCTGCAACGCGAATCAGAGCTTCGCTGGTAATAAGACCTCGAGACTATCACTTACAAACTCGATCTGCACCGACTTCTTGGCATTCAGCCGTGATAGCTGCTGTTTGATGAATACCGCCTCTTTGGTATATTCCACGTCTGCTTTGTGTGTCCCATCGAATAGCCAGGAATATGGGCACAACATAATGGATAACCTTGACAGCAGAGACCGCGAAACCAGAGTGTTCTCCAATGTCTCCCATGGTATGTCTTGCAAATAATTGATGTTGGAGTCACTCGCAGCGGTAGTGAGGTAGAAGTTGATTGTGAGATGGGATATAGACTGGCAAGAACGTCGTACCACGTCTAGAAGCGGGCGGTAGTCGTTTGGCAGGCGTCTGTCTATACCCCACACGTCGAGGGAGTAGGACGTAAGGTTTGAGCAGAATGATAGACCGTATTCGTCCTAGATCACCATGTCAGTAGTTGCGATACAACACATTTTGGGGAGCAGTACGAACCGGTTCAAAAAGGGGATCGATTCCGATTGGTGCTATGCCTAGACCAAGACGAAGCACGGATATGCTACTGCATCCAATGGCTTGTAAGATGGTCCGAACCACCGGTGGTTCGTCGTGGATCCGCAAGTACTGTAGACCATGAAAGCAGCCAGACTCCAGTAGCAGTAGCAGGACGGATGCTTGAGTGAGTATATCCGTGACTTCTGCAGCCAACCTTTGCACACGAAGATCCCGCGGGATCCTTGCAAGAACTGGCCTAACCCGGCTACGGTCATCCCAGTAGATTCCGTACGGCGCAGGATCATGCAGTGACCGAAAGTGAAAGTTGATGATGCGGAGGGTACCAATGGATGTGAAGAGGGCAAGGAGGTCTGCAAGTGCACATTCAGGTTCTTCCAACGACGTTTCGTGGGCCTGTGATCCTACTAACGCCCAACTGGGAGGCTCCATCATAGACCCGTCAATGTCTAGCGACGTAAGAGGCCGACGATGCGACCATCCAAACAAGCGGATTCCGGGAAGACAGGGCTGAAGAGAGATATTTTGCAACCGGAGCTCGATGAGCCCAGGAAGCTTGGCGAGGATGAGGTCAAGGTCCACCATACTGATCGTGACATCGTCGACATCGGCGGCTTCCAGCCCAACCACGACTAAACGCTTGATAAAAGTTACGAACTGCGGGGGATCTTCCAGAGGCTTGGTATACCAGAGGAACCTGCGGAGCGCATCGAATGTATACGTGGACCGGCCACAGCACGGACTCTCCGAGTCGTAATGAGGACCGCCGTGGTCGTGAACGATGACGGTTCGGAAAAGTCTTGGTCGTGCACAGGTATTCCAAAAGCGACACATCAGAGTGCACGCCGCCAAACTCTTCGTGTCCAGTTCGTCGGTGATGAGGTCAACGAGTTCTCGCGGAAGACGCGCTGCTGGCGCAGCAGTGTTCGGTGTAGGCATGGCTATCGTACGTTAGCAAGTGCTGTTCAGACAGTAGCTGCGAAACAAAGAGCGGATTGCACTCACTGTTGACCTAGCCTAGGATCGTACTATTTTCTGCGACTCTGTGCGGTTGCTCTCGCGGGGGAGTTGCAAAGATGACGAACTTGAAGCGAAAGGGAGCAAAAGAGAGGCGATACCATTTACACCAGTTGGGTCAATCAAGCCCCCTGACACCGCGTTACAGTACAGGCGGACTAGCTGCTTGCGCTGTCTCAGCAGAGTACTCTAGCTCAATAGAACGTATCTTCTATCCTATGCAGACTGCCTATCTGTTAGGTTGAAAGCACAAACTAGTATTACGAGGCTCTACTAGTATTGCCACAAGATGAATGGTAGTACCTACACTGGTAGCAGATATCCGTGGACCACAATGCGAGGGAAAATTTAGTTCTCTCCTGGCCACGGAGGGCATGCGCTCATCTCGACGTTCTACAAAGAAGACCATACGCTGTTAGATCATTCTCATAAGATTCGTGGTAACAGATAAGGACGCTCACCTCGAAGCTCAGTAGCTGTCTTTTCACCAACGACGGCAGATGCTCCCGGATAAACGCGATCTCTCGATTGAAGTCCCTGTTCGACGCGTCGTCCCAAGACCCCACGGAAAACTTGAATAGCAGCTGAGTCGACGGGAATCGCCGCATCATCACATTTTCCAGCTTATTGCAATCCAGGCTAATCAAGTAGTTGAGTGTGACACCGTCGGACTCGATATCATCAGGTCGCTCGCGACTGCTGAATTGGAAGTCGATAGTCATGTGGCAGACAGTCACGGGAATGTGATCAATAACACTGAAGAGAAGGCCAAAGTCGAGGGCCAAGTCGTCGGGATAGATGTCTTGCAAGCGAAACTCGCAACGTGAAAGGGATGTACAAAACGCTACTCCATATAGGTCCTATGGATTCCAAAACGACGAAGGCTCAGAATATGTGACAAAGAAGAGAATTTAGATGTAGACGAACCTGGTCAGTGTAGTCGTCCGCGGCCACAGACACAGTGAGTCCAAGAGATTCCAATCTATTTCCCACCCCTTCCAACACGGCTCGCACTATGGCCGGCTCCTCCGTCACGTTGAGCGAAGAAAGACCTTGCAGCGAGACCGATCGATCAAGAAGCCGCAAGAAATCTGCATGGCTTTTAGGAACTGCGTTCGCGTACGGATCGAGTTCCAAGTAAAGTTGTTGCACGCGCAAGGCCGACAGCTGAGAGACGGCCGCGTCTGTTCGCTCGTCGTCATCCCAGTACAGCCACCTCCGCTCATCGTCGTCCAACATAAATCCGACGTTGGTAGCATGCACCATTTTGATGTCGCTGAAAAGACCGAGCAGCTCCACGAAAGGGCACCCCGTTCCTTCACGCCTTTGTTGGTCGCCGGTTGCCCAGCTCGGCAGTTCCATTTTGATTCCCCAAAGGACTAGCTTTGTAAGGGGTTTGGGATACGACCAGCCATGAAGCTTCATACCACTTGGGGCGGGTTGAAGTGAGATGGATCGGAGGTAGAGCTCGTCCAACGCAGGCAATCTTGCCAGGACGAGATCAAGGTCGGCCACATTGATGGTCGTTCTGTGAATATCGCTCCAGCCATAGCTGATCTTGAGAGACTTGATAAGAGGTGGAAGATCGCGTGATAGAGGAGGCGGTGACCATAGGAACCTGCGAAACGCGTCGAAAGCGAATTGGTTATCCCCGCAGCATTCGAAATCGGGGGGATAGTGCTGAGGACCGCCGTGATCGTGAATGGAGAGGGTGTGGAAGAGGAGAGCACGGGTGGAGACGCGCCAATACCGAGAGACCAAGGTGCAATGTTTGAGCGCGAGTTTGTCTTGGGCAAGATGGCTGACCACAAGGTCCAGAAGCTCGCGAGGAAGACGCGAGATGGCTGAGTCCGCTTCGTTTGGGGTCTGGATGTCCATCTGTACGAGTGATAGGTGAGTGATATACGCTGGCTTCCGCCAAACACGCTCAATAGAACTTACTGTAGGCGTGTTTGACTGGGCGGGATCGGAACGTGCGAGTCGACTGGGCCGTGACGTTGTGGTTGAAGTTAGAAGAAAGAATGGGCGCCAAATGCAGCCAATCAGAGAGGCGCTTTGATCTCCAGACAGCGCCTGCGCCGTGCAGTACCTGGATACGCACCCACCTCGCATTTGCCTCGCATCCTCCCAACCACTGCCAGTCTAGACATTTCACCAAAAATAAGTGCTCTGCACTTGCGATGGCCAACGCCGGGGTCGAACCGACGACCTTGGCGTTATTAGCACCACGCTCTAACCAACTGAGCTAGCCGGCCATATGTAGACGCTTAAGCGGACGTATTATATTATATTAACTTTCGGTCCGCGCGCCACAAATGAACCAAGTTGCTCGCGTCGACGTGTATTGTGCTGTATCGTTTCGCTTTAGGTTCTCATGGCCGGCTAGCTCAGTTGGTTAGAGCGTGGTGTGGTGCTAATAACGCCAAGGTCGTCGGTTCGACCCCGGCGTTGGCCAAGATGGCTTTCCAAGTCTGCCTTTTTGCTTTTTCTTGCTGATCTTCGTGAATCATGTCATAGTATGGCGGGAAGAAGTCTCGCGGTGAATGAGTTCGTGTGACAGCCATAACTTCTTCTATCACCTAACGGAACTTGTACAAGGACGATGCACGGCCAGTCTTCCTGCTCATAAGTGCTACATGTCGTATTCTGCAACCTCATCACAACCACCCGCTGACGTAGAGTACTCTCGAGTCTCAGCGACAGACCGAACGCATGACCTCCGTATGACAGGAAAGACGACTTTCGTACCACCCACGCCCACATCGCCTACAAAGGAAACTCCACACGTCTATCTCTCCGTCTCTCAGTCGTCCTCCTCCTCGTCATATGTGCCTCGGGACCTGAAAGACGCAATCGTGAGAGGCATGAAGCCAAGACGAACCTCGCAGCCGGCCCATTTGCGAAGGCAGCTCTCGTGATCCTCTAATACCCCCGTCGACGGTCTATAAAAAAACGAACTTGCGCCTTGGATGTATCGTCTGACACGAGATTTAGGTTTGAGTTGAAGCGACCTGGTATCAGATCTGTTGTTCATACAAAACATGAGCTCTTCTCCCGAGTGGGCGTACGGGCCTTGGATCCACGTCCAGCTTGAGATCCAACCTCCGACCAGCGATGGGTGCAATGACGCAGGAACCCTTCTTGGGTAACAGTGTATTATTACACGGGGCTCAAGGTCACCAGACCACGCCCGGAGAGACTGCAAAGCTTGTTTGAAGTGGGATACCGGGGGATTGACAAAGACGGCTGTGTCGATTGGTATGTTCTGTCGCCAAGCTTGGTCGCGAGACCTCCTCTCGTACGGCTCCGCTGCGAGAGCGAGTCCAAGTATTGGATGTCTGCAGACACCTCGTGAATGTGAATACGAACACCCAGCTTCAACGCGAGAACTTCGGAGAACGCACCTTGTCCGCGTCATGACATCCCAGCAATACTCGTTCAACCTCAGCCCTCCCTCCGAACTCGTCAACCGAGTCCACCGTCTCCGCCCTCGGCTATATTTGCAAGTGAGTGTTCGACCTGAACATGGCCGTAGACGTCTTCCATGTCCACGATAGGTACAAGGGACGATCTGCGCAGTTAGAGTGAGTGGGCACGGGATACGCAAACACGAGCCAAATCCGTCTTGACTCTGAGATCTATCGCTGACAAGGGAAAGACGTCCGAAGTCCAGCCAACGAAACGCGTCCGAACGAGGGTGCGAAGCGCTCTCTCTCGCTGAAAGCACCTCTGATCTTGATGACGAGCGGGCCCGAGGTGGTCTGTGGTGAGAAACCCAAGGAGAAACCCAAGAACGAGGAACAACAAAGTGAAGTCGTTCCCATCTGTCTTCTGCTTGTCCTGGGACTTCCAGAGGGTTGCAATATTGACAGGTTCTGACCAGAACGTACGGTCCCAGCTATCACGGGCGTGATGCAGTACTGTAGGCCAACGAACCCAGATATATTCTGCATTGATGCATTGAGCGACGGACAACATCAACACGCTATTCTGAGCTACTGCGAGCGCGAAAGAGAAAGAAAGATCAGACGAGGATTCAGCAGAAGCAGATACCAGCGTACACACCGAAACTATGCTCGAACAGACCGCCAGCGACTCCCAGCACGAGTCAACCGCGCCAGTTCTCGCACACACCCACCCAAATCGAGGGACGTCGCGACGAACGACGAGCTCGCCCAAAGCCTCCTCCGACAAAGTTCACGTCCCGCCCCGCTCTCCAGCTCAGCGAAGGGCACGCCCCCCGAGCTCGCCGACCCAGAGTCACCGCATCACAGCCATCAGAACCTGTCAAGGCAAAGTTCAGGAACAAAAGGTCGGCAAGGCGCAAGACGACCCAATCAGAAGCAACCGCTCTGATCACGCCTGATCAGGACCCGGCGAATCGAGACCCGGACGGACAAATGGCGTGCTCAGCCGAAAATTTGAAAATCGAGGGTTCACGCGAGCATCGCCCTGCTTTTCGCGAAGTGGTTGGGGTAACCACCCAACGCCGCGTGCGTAGAATACAACCAAATGCCATTTACCAGTAATACGACAAACGAGAAGAGCGGGGTCGGGAGTGTGCAAGGTGTGCGGAGGGTGGGTGTGGTGTAGGAGGAAGTGCTACGAGCCAACGAACAAAAGATAAAAATCGTTCATCACACTACAAGAACGATAACGATACGAGGGCAAGAGGGGGGACACGACACACGACGATCGAGAAACAGGCAGAAAATAAGGCTGGCGATGATGTTTCTGGTGTTCGAAACGCGGGGGGAGGAGGAACAACGAGTGAGGGTGGTGTTCGGTAAGCAGTGGGGTGGCAAGGTGGTGGGGGTGTATGCGGGGAATACAGCAAAAATAGGCGAACAGGAAGAGACACGAGACGAAACGGAAAGAGTATAAAAAGGAGGAAAGGAACGGGTGTGTGGTGTACGACAGGTTCAACGTCGTAAAAAATGCGTGCCGATAATAAGAGAGAGTGGGTTGGGCGACGTGGGGAACAATAGTACACTGAATAATTGACGGGTGTGGGTTGGGGCATGCGGGGGTCGTCGATTGTGGTGGTATATGGAGTCGATGTGATGTGTTGTGTATGGCACAAGATGATGCGATGAGGTGGTGGTGGGGTGGGTCATGAACGGTGGTGTGCGTGAAGGCGGATAGGAGTGGGTCGACGACGAGGTGGTGGGGGCGAGGGCAGACGAGCAGAAGGCGAGGCGAGCAATAACGAGATCATACGAGTAGGCGGGGGATATACGGCACGAAGCTGGGAGAGTGAGTGGTGGGATTAGGGTCTTGAAGTCCAAAGAGAGGTATGGCGAAACGAGTCGAGACGAGGAGAGAGATGGAGATAGCAAGGAGAACGCGCAAGAAAGATCGATAGGATGAGAGCAGCGAGAGAACGAAAGCAGCACGAGCGGGAAAATCACCACGACGACAAAGCAGAGACCTGCGGGCTCTCTACATCATCATCGCAGCGAACCCGTGCGCGTTCCCGCCTCCCCCGACGCTGATCGCTTGCGGACCCTTCATCATCCCTCCTCCCATACCCATCCCACCGCCCATGCCCTGCGCACCCGCCATCCCTGGTCCCATACCCATCATGCCCGCCATAGCGCCTTCGTCCGCCCATCCTCCCATCCCGCTGTTCATCCTCCTGGGCACACCTCCCCCGTTCGCCAACACGCTCGGCATCTCGTAGCTCCCAGGACCACCCGGCGAACCCGCACCGGCACTCCCGACGCTGTTCATGCTCCCGCTGCGCTCTCTCCGGACACCGCCCATCCCGCCTCCTACGTTTC